TCAGAAAAGATCGTGCAATCCAGAACAAAGCTCCCAGGGCCAGTCAGCTTCTCTGGTATCTTATTCTGAATCACTGCACTTACTTGTTCTGAAATCAGCATTGTTCCTTGCTCCAGCCCCAGATTCTTGGTCATCATCCTTTTCACATATCTCTTTATCACAGGAGTAGTCCTTATGGCATCTATCAAATGAATCTCCACCACAAGCTTATCCATGATAGCTTTAATCCTAGCATCCTCCAGTTCCTGTTTAGACTTCTTTTGGTTCCTTGGATAAGGCACATTTGGCTTATAGACCCTTTCTTCTGCACTTTCTGGAGTCTGAGAACTCGGAGTTTGCTTATGTGGTGGGCGTCGATCGACACCAGGGGGTGGGTGTCGATCGACACTGGTTCCTGAGAGTGGTGTCGATCTAGTGTCGGGCAGCTTGTCGACCTCGGTCGATATCCGTTCGCTTTGAGTCGAGGAGTCATGAATTTCCTCTGGTGTCGATCGACACTGAGGGGTTGGTGTCATCGACACCCTTCGAAATTTTCGAAATCTTCATCTTCAAATTCCTGCAGTTGCTCGAAGTCGTCTGCACTAAAACCCTTTTTCTGCACTGGTTGCAGATTCTTTCCACTCCTCAGCGTAATGACGTTAACAGAGTGTCTTGGGTTGGTGTCTTTCCTTCCTGGAAGGAATCCATCCTGTCTTTTCACAGCCCCAGCAGTTTGAGCAACTTGAGTACCCAAAGTCTTCACATGAGTGTTCAGAGCTTCGATTTTCCCATTCAAATCTTGATACAGGGCGTCAATCTTGCCATTGAAGTCAACTGTAATCTTCTGCTGACCTTCTAGCAACTGCTCGAGCATGGCTTCCATTTTGCTTGAAGCTGATGGTGCTGGTGCAGGCTGATAAGATGAGGAACCATAGTTCCTGTTGAAGTTGCTGTTCTGATAAGGCTTCTGGTACTCAGTCTTCTGAAACTGAGGCTTGGGAGTGTAGTCAGTAGAGTTTTGATTCCCTGTGAAGTTGCTCCTCTGCATGTTCCCACTGAATCCTCTGTTTCCCTGCTGATTGTTGTATCTCTCACCTTGAAAACCAGCTCCATTGGTGTAGTTGACATCTTCTTCTTCAAACTCCTCAGCTGGCTCAAATGTCTCAACTTCAGCAGCAAACTGAACAGACTTCTTCCCCACCAGGAGATTGTGCACAGAATCCAGCTTGGCCTTCATCTCAGCAACAAACTGATTACTTCCTGCATCCCCAGCGTTTTTCTGTCTCTCAAAATCAGCATTCTTTGTGCTGTTGCTGGAAGCTAGGTTCTCTATCAGCTTGATGGCATCAGCTGAGACTCTTGTGTTGAAGTTCCCATTGCTTGCTGTATCCAGAGCCATGTGGTATTTCCAATCAAAACTTCTGAAGAAGATTCCCAGCAGCTGTACTTCATTAAACCCATGATGTGGGCAGCCTCTTTGGTACAGCTTAAAAAGCTTCTGTTGGACCTTGGGAGAATGTGGCGATATTTCTCCTCAACTCTTCTGACCTTGCATCATCATAGAAGTTGTTGAGAAAAGCAGATTTAGTGTCCTCCCATGTAGTCAAAGAAGCAGGTTCCAACTGTTTGAGCCAATGTGCTGCATCTCCTTCCAAAGAGTGAGGGAAAAGCTTGCAGAATAGGAAGTCATTGGTGACTCCATTGGCTTTAACACTTGAAGCCAGGTCTTCAAACTTCTCAATGTGGTCCATTGGGTGTTCATGTGGAAGCCCATGGAAAGGTTGTTGACCTACAAGCTGATAGTAACTGGCTTTCAGCTCAAAGTCATTCCTCTGAAAGGCAGGTGGGCGGATTGCAGCTCTATTTGCATAGAACTGATCTGGCCTGTTGTAATCTCCCAGAGTCCTCTGTGGATGACGCCCAGCAGCATCTCCAGCATCATGTTGTACATTCTGATCCTCAAATACAACGCCATTGTCATTTATCCTCTGCTCATCCTCATTCCTTCTATTCCCTTCTCTGTCAACTAAATGACCCTCAGCATTTGTCCTCAAAACAAGTGGTCCAACCATTCTAGTCTGCTTTTTGGCTTTCCTGATGGTTCTCCCTAACTTGGCGAGTTCGTCGATGCCTAAAGTCACAAGTTCTTTGTCTTTGTTGCTCCTGGTACTGCGATTATGTATGCACCTGAAACAGACAACAGAAAAGTGAAAGAAGTTAGTAAACAGACACTAAAAGCTTAGTCAAAATTCTAAAACTAAAAATCTGAAAGTAATATCTAATTCCCCGGCAACGGCGCCAAAATTTGATATGCTCAAATTAACCCTTAGAGCTACTCTCTCAAATTAAGAGATCATTGTAGTACTTAGGGATCAAATCCACAAGGACTTAAGGTTATCACTCAACAGATTTTATATTCAAATAAAGCTAAGCAATCAATAATGAAATGAAAATAAAATAACAATGAAAGCAATGATGTGAAAGGTGGATTGTAGGTTCTTAAAATCAGGAGACAAGACGCTAGGCAATGGGAAATTTGCAGGTTGACATAAATCGTAGACTACGAACTGAAAGGATTATTTATTAAAGTTGTTCTAGAACTCGAAACACCAATGTAAAACCAATCGACTTCTGTCGCAGAGATTAACTATGATCAGATTCTATAATTCCAAATTCCTTTGCAAATTCTAACAATCTAAACATGCATTATAGATCAGGTTCGATATATTCACAAAATCACTAATCCAAATTCCTTTGCAACTAGTTATTTTGTTCATCTAAGATAGTTCTGGTGATTAACAATGTTCCCACATCTATTAAACATCCTAAGATCTGAGGATAAATCTTAAAACTAGTGTTAAAGCAATCTAGATGAAGAACCGAATGATTTATCCTTCCAGTTTTGTAGTTCTAACAATTCATTATCAACTTTTGAATAACCCAAAACCTAACTAGCAGATTACTCAGACATAACAAGTGAAACACAAATCATGGCTGAATAAAATTGAATTAAGAAAATAGAGTAAAAGATGAAGGGGTTCGAAATTCTTCTCTACAGAGTATGGATTTGTCTCCCCAAAAGCTCTCAATCTAATCTCTCTCTTATTCTCAATGATAATCAGAATCATAGCCTAACAATGGCTTAGAAAACCTAAATACAAGTCTAAACACGAACTGGGGCAAAAGTGCAAATAGTGGAAGACTTTTGGGCCAAGTTGCAATTTCTTCTAATGAGTTTTCACACTTCTTCGCGACCACGACCGGTGTCGATCGACACCAAGTGGTGGGTGTCGATCGACACCCTACTCCTTAATGCCTTCCGACTTGGTCCTTTCACCATCAACTTCAGTATAGCTCCAAAAGGTTCCAGAATCCACAATTATTCTCCATTTGTACCTAGACCTGCAAAGACTCTATAGGACTCGAAAAAGACCAAAAAGACTCTATAAACAAGACTTATATCATGGTCAAAAACCAGCAAAAACCATGATATATCAGCAAGAATGCTTTCTCGAGTAACTCAGAAACATATTCGGGATTGACAAAATTTCTAATCCTGCTGAAATCATCAGAGGAAGGCTCTTGCAGATAGTTAATAATGATGTTTAGTTGATTGGTGAACTAAATGGAAAGAGAATGAGAGAAGAAAAAGAAGAGAAATGTTGTGAGGATTGTTACTTATTTGAGTGCGATTGTGAATTCACTATGAACTCCATAATTAACAGGTATTATCATATTAATATGTATTATCCATTTTACTTTCATCTTAAACATGCGACATCATACATCTGATCTATTCTCTGTCGTTAAGCTATGTATTTCAAATATGTTGTAATCTGTGACCAGTGGCGGTCTCAGAAAAATATTTTGACTTAGGTCATAAATTAATTTTAATATAATTAAATAATATTATTGTCATAAAATAAACAAAAAGTCTAATATCATAATATCAGTACACTGAAGGCGAATCGAACTCGATTTGGGAGGTTCAACAGCAGGATATTAACCAACTAAGCCACTTTTATCTTATTGTTCAAGCTTAAACTTTTAAAATTTAATATATATGGTAGGTCAGATGACCTCCCTTCTCTCTATGTGGGTCTGCCCCTGTCTGTGACCACTTAAGGTTACATGTAATAGTAATGAAAAAATCCAGAAAGCGTAGTATTTGCAAGTCGCCATTGCATCTAGATCGTTCTGCAACATATACTTCGGATATCCAGTAAAAGATGACGGTATTATGATTCGCCGACCCTCACCGGATAGATCGCAAACTCTCTTTTCAACTTTCTACTTTATGGAAAAATAACTCTATGAGCCACAGCTTCTGTTGGTTCAACCAGAAATATTGTAATCTATTAGTTTCTATCATTGTGAATGTATCTACTATAAACTGCTGGTACAATCACCCACACATAAAAATTATAGGTGATCCCCATGCCTTTTTGGATGTGGAAAGTAAAACATTCACGCATTATAATTGTCGTTCTCTTCCCTCCAGCAGTATCAATAAAATCTATATCAATGCCTGACCTAAAATCATCCTCACCATAAGAAATTATCAAAAAATACTGTAGGAGAAAATAAGTTGGATGTAAATCGCTAATACACTTCAATTTTCCTGATTTAGTCTCTAAAATTATATCCCATGGGTCTACCCCTATATTAAAGTCATTCGGTATCAAAGCTGCCACCTCATTTTCTGTAGGAAGGTTGTTAGTCCATCCATCGGATTCTATATCACATGGCAACACCATTCAGAGATTCACAACATTAACATCAACCTTTAATTTATCTTTTGCTATTCAAAACGCTCTCACATGGAAATTATGCTATCCAACATATTCTGAAGCTTCAAAACTATGGTTTCTTTTAGTTTTTCAGTGTCTCCTGTTATTCAAAAAATAATAATTTAATAGTGAAGGACAGAGTATAAATAAATCATTCATGGAAAACATAAGTATTACTCGTATGCATCTACCCAATTGTAAATTTCATTTTCTGTGTCATGTGTATAAAGTTGGAGAAACGCCAGTGATTCACCATCCTGGGATAGTATATCACCTATACCAGATAGGGACCTTTGCCAGAATGATCATTATTACCACCAAGAGAAGTGAACAAAAACACATGTTATAGGTTCTTATATTTTTCCGAAAATGTTTTCTTATTTCATTATTGTTGTATATGAAAGAAAAGCAATGTGTTCGGTGGAGCTTTGAGTCGAGGTAGATTCACTTTTCATTGCCCACAACATAGTGAAAAGATTAGTTTAAACCTAGATGTATCCTTGTTCAATATTTCCCCTAACCACATATAATCTTTGCAAGGACCACATGTATAGACTGAATCACTGTCATTGTAATAACCTTAAAAATCTTAAACACAAAAAACACAAAATAAAATACAAAAAGGACATTGAAATACCTCTCATCACAAAAATCAAACACGACACTCCTGCAGCGAACAATCCCTTTCCACCGAAAACATTATCCAATGGATTAAATTCTTCTACACGAAGAACTTCACCAACTAAATCTGCAAGAAAGACGAAACCAAAACTAAAATGTGTGATATATAATATTGAAACACTCTAAATATAAATTAAAAGAACATAATAATAACTGAAAATCATAAAACATAACTAATACCAACTAAGTAATCGCTGTCATGATGAACACGAACCAAAATCCGTTTAAAAGGAACAAAGTAAAAAAAAATCCTGTAGACATCTTAAAGTAGTCTCAGAGATAAACATCGACGATGTAAACTGTATCTTGAATCCATGAGAAGTTAACCGAAGAGAACCAACTTGTGGAAACACAATAAACTCGTGTATGTTGACCCACACATCCTGTGTAACTATAGACACAAACTTATCATATAAATTGTGTATCCCAATCACAAAACCAAAACAAAATAGAAGTAGATGGGAAACTTACATGTCTATTGACCAAGATCAAACCTAATTTCTTCAAACTACTCACAGAAGCATGAGCATAGATTCGAAGGATCTTCACATAAATACTAGCATTAGAACATGTAGTACCAAGAGCCGACAAAGGAATATCTATGGTAGATTGGCGTTGAGGAAACAAAACCCAATACATCGGCAACAATATTAACTACCAGATCAGGCTCGTCGTCATACCACTATTACACTCACTGTTATTATCATCCAACCATCGTCATACTCATCAGCATCACTACTACACTCATCCTCGTCATCATCACACTCGTAGCCTCGCACCTATATATTTTACACGTTAAAAAAAAGAATTATTAAAACATGAAAATATAGATAAGATATAAATCAAATTAATAAAATATATTTTAAACACTCTAAAACAACTATTCGTTTTACACCCTCATAAACAAAATTTAGACATACTAAAAAGAATTATCAATAAATAAATAATATATATTTTCATCCGAAAAAGAAGATCGTAAACCTGAAAATACACTAAATTTACTAGTAAAAAACTTGGCTATAGCCACTGTTTGTTTCGTGACTAAGGTAAAAATACCGTGCCTATATGAATCTATAACCACGATCGTGACTAATTTATTTCGTGGCTTTTCGTGACTACATAGCCACGAATTAGCTACTGATAAGTTTGTGGCAAAAATAATCACGAAAATGTTACATAATTCTGCGTGTCTAACTAACCACGATTAAATTATAGCTAATTTCGTCACAAACATAATGGTTTTTAAATAAATAACAAAACAATTAATTTCGTCACATAATTGTCATAGTTTTTTTCGTGGCTAATTATTTATTTTTTATATAAAAAAAAAATTGATTTCGTTTTTTTCATTTTTTGTTTTACTTTTTTAACATTAAGTTTTTTTTTTTGTTTTCTGGGTTTAATCAATAAAATCCCGAAATGGGCCTGACTGAAAATCTTAAAACCATACAACATGTGGGCCTAAACCTTAAGAACCCAAAACTTAAACCAGGAAAACCAAAGAACAGAACCAGCAGCTAATCCTAAACCAAAGGCCGACCCAAGCTTAACCGGACGAAGCCGTAATCTGCAAAATTGTCGATGGTCAATGACTCAATGGTGGTGAGCACGGTGCGGCAAGGATGGAGCAGCCAGAGGACGAGATCGGAAACCAGCAGCGAGCATTAGAGAGGAGCGTTGCCGGGCTACAAAATCAGAAAAAAAGAGAGTTAGATCTGAAGAAAATAAGGTGGAGAAAAAGAGAAAGGAGGAGATGAAGGGAGTAGAAGGAGAAGAAAATACTTACAATCAATCGACGACGGTTTTAAAGCATTGATAGAGAAGCACATGAGATGGATCGACGGTGGTTTTAAGGAGATGCATCGGGGGCGAACTGAAGAAGAAGAGTAGGAATAAGAAGAGCAAGAGAAATAAGAAGAAGGATACAAAGAGAAATAGAAGAAAAGGAGAAGAAGAAGCAAATGAAGGAGAAGATAGGTATGAGATGGATCGGAGAATGCGAGTACAACAAAGGAGAAGACACGATTTGTGTGTGTTTTGGTTAAGAGCATCTCCAATCTACCTCTATTTTAGAGAGAAAAATAGAGTTTAGAGAAAAATTCTCTTTAATCCACCTCTATTTTTACCTCTAAAATAGAGGTTGCTATTTTTCCCTCTATACTTGGAGGAATTCTATTTGTTCCTCTATAATAGAGATACACTTTTTATTTATAAACTGGTCCCTTAACTTTTACATCTTTTTTATTTTATTTATATAACATATAAAAAGTTAAATTAAATATTTGCATAATCTAGTTTGTATATATCCAATAAATAGTCATATATCTAACATATAAATTTAATTAAATTATAAAATATTAAATAACTTTAATAAAGTTTAATAAAATCAACATCATTTCAGACAATAACTATTATAGAAAAATAGAAAACATTATTTACTTTAATTAACTATATAATTTATAAATGAAAGTGGTTAATCCACGATAAAAAAAATATAAACATGAATAGTAATATAGTATACACATGTACAATAATACGTCAATAAAGTTACATTATACAGTTTTGTATGTTATTAAATACAAAAACCTAATAAATAAATAAATTTAACAATTTTGTTATGGTTTGAGAAAATTTTTTGAACATATAATATAACTAAATTGGAAAATTCTCATTTATTTCAAACTAAATTATAAATAAAATGATAAATTACAATAATTTTCTAAAAATACAGAAATTATAGAAAATGATAAATACCATAGTGGTTTAATAAATGTTTTAAAAATTATGGAAAATTACAAATACTATAGTCATTTTGAATTTTGTTTATGAAATAAATATTTAGTTTTAATATATTTTTATTATTGATGGAAATTTTTGTAAACAATAATATAAATAGGGTTAATTTGTGAATTTTATGGAAAGAAGATATTAATAATAAATTATAAAGAGAATATTCTTAAAATATTCCTTTTTAGAGGAAAAAATAGAGGAATACATTGGAGAGAAGTACACCTCTATTTTAGAGTTCCTCTATTTTAGAAAAAAAAATAGAGGAACACATTGGAGATGGTCTAAAGATGCAAAGAGAGAAAACAAAAAAAAAGGAAAGATTTGTGTGTGTTAGATTTAGTTTTATCAAGGGCTGAGATTAAAAGTAAGGTGTAATTCTCACCACCATAAATTAACCAATGAGAAATTATCTTTCTTATTTGCATTTTATAAGTTTAATTTTGTGTTTTAAAACATATGTATGATCTTAAATATTATATGCAGATAAGTCATTTGATAATATATCTCATTTATAATTAATTTCATTAGTGAATTGTAATATTTAATTTTAAAATTTTAGATTTAATTTTTATGTTTGAATGTAAAGTGTTTAAGATTTAAAATTTTAGATTTAAGATTTGGGATTTTGGGTTTGATATTTTTAAAAATGAATAGATTTAAATATTTTTGAAACATTTTCTAAATGTGGATTTGAATTTTGGATATCTATATTGATTAATTATGTTTAGGGTTTGAAATTTTTAAATTTTAAATATAATTTATTTTTGGAATTTTGAAGTTTCTCATAAATGTTGGAGAATATGTTGACTTTATAAAAAATTTGGAAAAGATATGCAACATAATGATAAAGACAAAAATGTATGAGTTTTATAAGTGTTGTAGGGTATAAGAGTTTGAAATGGTTTATAGATTATGGTTTGAGTTTATGATACATAATTTGCATTTTGGATTTAGAGTTAGGGTTTGAAGCTTTTGGTTAAGGGTTTGAATTTTGTTGTAATATGTATTTTACATTTAGGGTTTATGGTTTGCATTTTTGATTTAGGGTTTGAGTTTAGGGTTTATGGTTTAAATTTGGTTAAGGGCTTGAATTTGAATTTGGTTAAGGGTTTGAATTTATATTTAGGGTCTAGAGTTTGAATTTAGTTAAGGGTTTGAATTTTGGTTAAAAATTTGGATTTTGGTGTACATATGTGTTTTACATTTAGGTTTAAAGGTTTGAATTTTGGTTAAGGGTTTGGATTTTGGTGTATATATGTGTTTTACATTTAAGGTTAAGAGTTTGAATTTTGATGTACATATGTGTTTTACATTTAGGGTTAATGGTTTGAATTTTGGTTAAGGGTTTGAATTTTGGTGTATATATGTGTTTTACATTTAGGGTCTAGGGTTTGAATTTGGTTAAGTGTTTGAATTTTGGTTAAGGGACGTTTGAATTTTGGTGTACATATGTGTTTTACATTTAGGGTCAAGAGTTTGAATTTTGGTTAAAGATTTGAATTTTGATGTACATATGTGTTTTATGTTTAGGGCATAGGGTTTGAATTTGGTTAAGGGTTTGTATTTTAAATTTAGGGTTTGAGTTTAAGGGTTAAAGGATTTAGTTATATTTGGTTATAACTAAATAACTATGCAAGTGTTAGAAATATTTTAAGGATTAAGTTTTAAATTAAAATATAACTAAAAAAATGCAAACTTTAAACCCAAAAAATAGAAACCCTTAACCAAATTGTTTAGTTATATTTAGTTATATTTTAATTTACCGATTCTGTTTAGTTTTATTTTAATTTAAAAATAAAATTCTTAATCTTTTTATAATAGTAAAAAAAATAAAGTTTAATTATACATATACTTGAAAATATGTTGAAACTTAAGTAAAATCAGTATCAATATAATAATCAGAGTCACGAAGTGAAAATATGTTAAAATTGAAAATATGTTGAAACTTAATCATAATCAATATCATAATCTTTTTATAATAGTAAGAAAACAATGTTTAACTATACAAAATTATCATGAAATTAGAGTGTTTAAAGAGTGGCTAACCTTGCCACTGCTATTCTCGTGACTAATCGTGACTACAGTTGCCACGAAAAAGTCATTATATTTGTTCATGACTATGGTGCCACAAAATATTCGTGGCGAATTAGTGGCTAACCTTGCTACACCAGATTATGTGACTAAAACGTGACTACGTTTGCCACGAATTGTCACGAAATTGTCATGTTTCTTTATTTTTCTGTTTACGTGACATTTTCGTGGCTTTTTCGTGACTTGTTTCAGAAAAGCCACGACACTGTTGTGACTCTGTCATAGCTATAGCCTGTTTTTTTCCTAGTGAAAACCATTAACCCGAAAGTCAACAACAAATCAAATTCGCTTAAATAAAACTATAAAACAAACCTTTTTATTTTTTAAATCGATGAAGACGTAAGGAACACTGTAACACCCATCGAAGTCGATTTGCTTTAGAAAAAGAAGATATCAATGAACTTCTCCGGTCGAAAACCATAGGAGACAATAGCTACGAAGAAGTTAGATTAAACGTTGATCCACTGTCCAAACAGATCTTTAAATTCTCGTGAGTGAAACCTAGGAAAAATAATAACATACAAACTTAGAACGATTGCAAAAAAATCATCAAGATCTTTATATATAAAGGGAACGATCAGAAAAGAATCAAAGAACACCGAGCTTACACAACGACATATCGACCAACTCGCAGACCACCACAACTCTTGGCAGAATCACAAACTATACTCATAAGAGGAAGTAGTTAAATGCGTATATAAGTGAGTAAACATATCGAAGTTTCCAATCAATCCTAAATAATAAAGCAACAACGACGATCGTTATCCAAAACTATATAGACGAAACCCTAAACCCACTAAAAAACCCTATAACTCTAATAATATGAGAGGGTGCCCCAAGTATTTTTATACCAATCGAATTCTAGGTTAAGTTGTTGGTAATTGCGAAACTGTATTAATAAAAAATTAGGTTAAATTGCTGGTAATCGAATAGTGTATAGTTTAGAAATTGGTTTAATTTAATTAATAGTGTATGGTTTTGTTTAATTAAAAATATATTTCATTAAGGATATATTAAGTCAATTCACATAAAAAGCAAATAGTAATCAATCATGATAATTTTTAACCATAACTCAATTTGCTTACCAATTAATAATATGATTCAGTTATTTCCTTTGGTTAAGAATCTTAGTACTACATCATAAAGTTTGACCTTAGACCACCTTCATCGGTGGTTTTTAACAAAATATCTAAATAATAAACAATTATTAAAAAGGAAAAAAGATGGAAAGAGAGTAACAAACGTTGCTTATTTAATAAATTTTGGATATGTTTGTAAAGATTGTAAGAGACTTTTGTGACAGATGTTTATATATAAGAGGTTTAAAAAATCTGAAACTTTTTTTTCTTCAAATTTTATTAAAATATTAATATTTTTTATTTTAGATACTCTTTTTACAATTTTTACTATGGACATGCTCTTATCTCATTGTAAATAAAAAGTTGAGAATTGATGGAGAAATTTAAAAAACGTTAGACATCTCTCATTCTTCTTCAACACAAATCCTCTTAAGTCTTAACCTCCACTGATATCCTCATTTGATAAAAAAAAAAAATCCACCATTGTTTTACTAAAAGAATATTTTGTTGACAGAAAAAACAATAACAAAAAACCAAATTGAGCTCATATAGAAGTATTAATAATAAACCCTTTAGGCCCATATAGAAATCAGTTGCAGCCCATATTGAAATCAGCCTTAACCGAAATTGAGTTGCCCATGTTCGATTTCGATCCCCAGTTTCCACTCCACTGCAAGCGTTTCCATTACCGTCGGTGAAATCACGATCTCTACAGTTCCGGCAAGTGGCTACATTCCGGTTCGGCTAAAATTCTGTACGTTCTTCTTCTTTTTACTTGACCTTTTGTTACATTTTCTTTATATTATCATCTTCACAAGACCCTAACCTTGTCCTTGACAAGTCGCAATGGGGTTTAGTGGTTTAGTTTCTCTCTCTCTCTCTCTCTCACTTATGTTGCCTGTATAAAAGATGAATGTTTTGAGTCATGTTCGTTTTCCTGCGAGTGTTGGTGTTACTTTATGGGTTTCATTTTGTTCATTAGGGAATTTTGAAATTTCTTTTTATTGATGGAAGTTTGGAGACTTTTGATTACAAATTGAACTGAAGCTGAGATGTCTCTCCGTTACCCTTTGCATCTAAATTTTCTCTCTTTGAAACTTTCGGTTTGCAGGTTTTCGTTGTTGTGAAAAGTTTTTTCTACAGAAGAAGAGAAGATGGTTGGTGAAAAAGAGAAGACGAAACAGGCTCGTTCCAATAGATTCAAGGAAGATAGGATAAGCCAGTTGCCTGATTCTTTGATATCTGACATACTTTCTCATCTTACCACAAAGGAATCTGTCAGGACAAGCGTTTTATCCGCCACATGGAGAAGTCTCTGGCTCTGTGTTCCAAGTTTGGAATTGAGCTCCGAAGATTCCCAGATTTGAGTACTTTTGTGAGTTTTGGTGACAAGTTTTTCGATTCCAGTAGGGACTCATGCATACACAAACTCATCTTGGATATTAATGGAGTTAAAGACGATGCCACTTATCTCACTTCATGGATTGATGCTGCAGTTAAACGCAAGGTCCAGTATCTAGATGTTAATTACTATGTTAAGTGTTTTGGAGATCAGAACTTTTATGAGATGCCCACAAGCCTTCTTACCTGTGAGACACTGGTGTTCTTAAAACTTGAGGGGGTTGCCTTGCCTGATTCAGAGTTTGTTTCTTTGCTTTGTCTGAAGACTATGCATCTGGTACAAATATTATATCCCAATGAGGCCACTTTCGAGAGACTTGTCTCATCCTGCCCTGTCCTGGACGAGTTAGAGGTTATTGTAGCTAGCAATGATGCAGGATTATATCGGATGCGTTCTCAATCACTGAAGACGCTCTCTTTTATGCGAGCTTCTCGTATCCGGCCTGAGTTTGTATCGGGAGTTGTGATTGATGCTCCTCTACTACGCGTATTGTGCACCTTTGATAACGCATCAACTAGCTTTGTAGTAAACAATCTGGAGTCCAATGCCAAGTTAGGTCTTTCTCTCGACTTTGGTTTTGAGGGTTTTCATGAAGCAAGCGATTTTTCATTGAGGAGAAATCGCTTCCGCAGTTTTCTTCCCGGGATCTCGAGTGTTAGGCATTTGACGGTAAATGCAAAGACTTTCAAGGTATATACATGTGTATTCAGACATGCTCATTACTCTGTAACGAAAAGTTTCCAGCACTCATCAACCTTTTGTTTGGTTTCAGCTCTTTCATGACTACTCCAAATTCCAACCGCTGCCTCAATTTAGTTCCTTGTCCCACATGCATGTTACGCTCTGTGTGTCCGATTTGGATTGGTTTCTAACCTTTCTTGAGAGTTTCCCGAACTTGAGATTACTCATCCTGGTGATGATCTAATATTCTACTGTAACCATATGAGTTTTTTTTTTTATTATGTATATCTTCTCATCTCTTTTTAATCCTCTGTTTCCCTCTCAGGAGTTAGATGCTTACGAAGGAATGCGTTCTGAGGATATGGATCGTATCACTTTTTCATCTGTTGTTCCTGAATGTCTGTTGTCATCGCTCGAGTATGTTGATTTCAATACCCAAATCTTGGGGTATGCTGCAGAAATGAAGCTGGTAAAGTACTTCCTAGAGAATTCTGAAGTCCTCAAGAAACTTACTCTGCATGTGAACCATGGTTCGAGAGACTCTGACATTGCCAAGGAGCTCCTCAAAATCCCTAGACGCTCTGCCTCTGCCACGTGTGAAGTGTCCTCATCTGATTGGTAAATCTTAGTTAGAAAATTCGAAAATTTGTCTTTTGATGTGGAAATTCTCACGCCACACAAGAAATGCAGGTTTAGTGTTCTTTGGAGTAAAATAGAGATGAAACTCTCTTTTAAGTTACATTTGCAAGAAATCGTGTTGTTGTTGTTGTCTATGGAATCAAGTATGCTAACTCTTCTATTTTTTTTTCCGTAATCTACTAATTTTATTTCGTTTATTGATTGTTACTAAGCATTTAATGACATACATAGATTCATTAAATATAGAGCTAAGTGAAACATCTATGGTCTTTATGTATGTGTAAAAAGTTGACCAGTAAAAAATCTCTTGGTTTTGAGTTTTTAATTTATTTTATGGGTGTGATTAGTAACCTAATTAGCTTAGTTTTCTTTGATTAATATGACTTAGTCGAACTTGAACAGATGGGAAGATTGTATCTGTGGAACTTGCAGATTTCGTTCTAATGGTTTTTCATGCACATCCTAATGTATTATTTATACATACGGCTGACTGAATTACTACTCAACGCAATCGTCAATAGTAATATCGAGAGATGAGTTACAACAATCTAGATTTCCCTAAGATAATACCAATGAAATCTAAACAATACAAACCAGAATATTCAGCGTAAGATCCAACATCTACAAGTTCGTTTGTCCTTTCCAGACTTTGTATGAGAGGCTTTATACCTGTGAGACGCTGGTGTCCTTAAAGCTCTCTAAGGTGAATATGGCTAACGCCGAGCTTGTTTCCTTGCCTTGTCTGAAGACTATGCAATTAGAGAATCCGACACTTTCGAGAGGCTTGTCTCGTTCTGTCCCGTCTTGGAAGAGTTGGAGATAATCGTGGACGTGGAAGACGCAAAGCTCTATCGGGTCCAGTATCGGTCGCTGACGCTGAAGAGACTCGCTTTCGAACTAATTTATTCTTGCAACCCTGTTTCTGTTCCGGGAGTTTTGATCGATGCTCCTCTACTACGCTCAATGAGCATCTATGGTGTTCAAACTCGCAGTACGTTATTGAGGGGTTTTCATATGTGCCTGAGTGTTTGGTATCCTCTATCGAGTTTGTTGATTTCGAAGGATTTGTTGTGGAATTGAAGCTCATAAAGTACTTCCTTGAGAATGCAGCTATCCTCAAGATACTCACTAAAGGTAGTTTGCATCATTGTGCAAACAAAGATTTGGTCTCCAAGTTTCTCGGCAAAATCACAAGACTCTCTACCAAATGTGATGTCGCTATAAGCTGATATGAGGAATGAAACTTTTGTTGTTGTGTAAAAGACTTTGTCGAGGGTTCGTTTGTGCATAGACAAATGTAGATTTCTACGGACACACGATTTCTCAGTTTACATTGATCAATAATATCGAATTATAAAAGATCCAATTTTGGTTAGAGTAATAAAGGAATGAATGTTTATTATTCTACCTCTGAGACTGAGATTATAATATAGGAAATTGATGTTCCTAAACCAACAATTCCTAGCTAACAGAAGGAAGAAAAGATCTTCAAACATTGATGAACGAACAAATCAACAATTCGCATAATGGCTCCCAAAACTGTTTCTACGTACACTTTTAACACTCTCACTCTTTGGCTCCCAATAATCTCAGCCGTCCATTGAGCCCTTCACGTGTCATCATCTCCCATCTCTTATTATTTCCTATATCAGATTACTAGGGTTTCCTTTTTTTTGTTTGATAGATGAGGTTGGTCGCACGCAATACTTTTTCTCTCTCTAAAACTTTCGTTTTGCACTTTTTTTATTATGCAGAAGTATCAACACATGGTTGGGAAAGGGGAAGAAGCGAAACAGGCTTGTTCCAAAGGGTCGAGTCCGAGGTTGAAAGAAGAAGATAGGATAAGCGAGTTGCCTGATCCTCTTATCTGTGACATCCTTTCTCTTCTTCCCATAAAGGAAGCTGTTTCTACAAGCGTTTTATCCTCAAGATAGAAGAGTCTCTGGCTTTGGATTCCTGAATTGGACTTAGTCTCTTACAAATTCCTAAGCCCCCCATATCTTGATTGCTTTGTGAGTTTTGGCGACAGGTTTTTCGATTCCAATAGGGTTTCATGCATACGCAAACTTAAGTTAGATCTTGGAGGAGGCTCTGGATTCATGGATTGATGCTGCAGTTAAGCGGAAGATCCAACATCTAGATCTACAGTTTTCTTATATTCATGAGATTCCCAGTAGCATTTTTACCTGTGAGACACTGGTGTTCTTGAAACATAGTTGGGTGGCCTTGCCTGATGCAGAGTTCGTTTCTTTGCCTTGTCTCAAGACTATGCATCTGGATCGAATATTATATCCCAATGAGTCCACTTTCGAGAGGCTTGTCTCATCCTCCCCTGTCCTGGACGAGTTAAAAGTCTGCGTAGATTGGAATGTTGCAAAATTCTATCGAGTGCACTCTGGATCATTGAAGACGCTGACGTTTGTACGATTTGACACTACCAAGGTTGATTCTGTTTTAGGAACTGAGATTGATGCTCCTCTACTAGGCTGTTTAAGCATCGTTGATCACGTATCAAATAGCTTTCTAGTAAACAATCTGGAGTCCATTACCAAGTTGGATATTTCTCTCGACCTTGGTTCAGAGAAGCCTTTCGATGATGCGAGTGTTTCAGCTGGGAGAAGTCGCATCCGCAGCTTTCTTACCGGGATCCCGAGGGTCGGGGATATGACGATAGCTGCCGACACTTTCAAGGTATAATTAAATGTAATGCACATTTTCTATAATGAAAAATTTCTAAACCCCACAAATGGTTTATGTTTGGTTTCAGGTCATTCATGACTATTCCAATTTAGAATCGCTGCCTCAGTTTCACTGCATGTCCCGACTGTGTGTTACTCTCTGCGTATCCGATTTGAAATGTTTACCAACCTTTCTTGAGAGCTGCCCGAACTTGAAATCCCTTATCCTGGTAATAATATGCTCAAACCAAATGATATTTTTTTCCATCTCTATGAAACTCTTGTGTAAATTCCTCATCGCGTTTTCCTCAGGCGTTAGATGAATCAAATGAGCCTGTCGATTTCGTTATGAGTTATAAAGAAATGCATTATGAGGGGATGAATCAAATGAGCTTTTCATCTGTTCCTGAATGTCTGTTATCGTCGCTGGAGTTTGTCGATTTCGAGTCCCCAATCTCTGGATATGCTGCTGAAATGAAGCTGGTAAAGTACTTCCTAGAGAATACAACAATCCTCAAGATACTCACTCTGCGTGTGAACCATGGTTCGAGAGACCATGACTTCTCTAAGGAGCTCCTCAAAATCCCAAGACGCTCTGCAACATGTCAAATCGTCGTCATCTGACTGGTAATGTTTAGATAGAAACATGTGAAGAAGACTTTCTTTTTGATTGAATAAGTTTGTGTAAGTGTTAGATTTTGCGGAATAATACTTAGAGAAATGAAGAGTGAGTGAAGAACATGAAAGAGAATGAGAGAGAATGAATTAAGGATGATTATATTTCCTTAAGTTAAGTTCTTACATTCGATTGGTAACTCCTATTTATAGATTCTACACATTGTAAGCTAACGGCTATAAAGGGAAAAACAATAAGAATAAACAAATGTGTAGATCCCAAAGGTGAAAATGACTGGTCATGCTTGACTTCCAACGTCCATATGCTTAAACAAAACATGTGACCTTATCTTCTTTGCTTCCTTATGCATATGACCGTTGTAGTGGTTGACTAAGATCAATTATATTCCTTGTCTATGACCGTTGCTTCCTTGTGTATCACTCTTCCTTGAATGTCACGGTGATGAGTATGTACGGACACCTCTTCTAGGTTGATCATTTTGACACTCCCCCTCAAACTTTAACCGTGATGAATGGTTAGAGCTTGGAGCCATGAAGGATCACCTCATTAAAAACCTCAATGTAGAAAACCTCATGGGACAAAACTATATTGAGGGAAAAAGAGTGTGATCTCCACAGCTAGGTGAGCTCAAGCTGAGATGTCAACGAGCCCCATCTTGGAGTGGATGAACTCGTTGGTCTTCTGATTTGTTGCCTTGGTGAAGATATCGGCTAGTTGGTCTGAACTCTTTGTGTAGCATGGCAGGATGACTCCAAGCTGGACTTGCTCCCTGACCTTGTGACAATCAACCTCAATATGCTTGGTTCTGTCATGAAAGACCGAGTTTGATGCAATGTGGATGGCCGCTTGGTTGTCACAGTGCATGGTGATTGGTGTGCTTGTCTCACAACCGAGGTCTTTAAGAAGGTTCCTTAGCCACATTAGCTCGGTTGTTAACCTCCTCATGGCCCGGTACTCAGCTTCAGCACTAGAACATGCAACTACATTTTGCTTCTTGCTCTTCCAAGTAACTAGATTCCCACCAATGAAAGTGCACTAGCCAGTAGTTGATCTTCTATCTACACGGTCTCCTGCCCAGTCTGCATCATAATATCCCACAATCTCTGAGCTTCCGTTGCAACCCATCCAAATGCCATGACCGATTGTTCCTTGGACATAGCTGAGAATGCGCTTGACCATGCTCCAGTGATATGACTTTGGAGCTTTCATGTGTTGGCTAACCTGATTCACAGCAAAACACAAGTCAAGTCTAGTTATGGTAAGATAGATTAGCTTACCCACCATCCTGCGATATTGTGTGATATCTTCAAAGGGTTCATCTTCTAGCTCCCCCTTTCGGTCCACTTTGTAGCTATCTTCAAGAGGAGTTTTAGCTACTTTATCTCCAAGGTCTCCTGTTTCACTCAACATATCAAGCATATATTTTCTTTGTGAGAGAAACAAGCCTTCTTTAGATCTACAAACTTCAATACCTAAGAAGTATTTTAGTTCACCTAGATCTTTAATATCAAAAAATTTCTTTAAATAGTCTTTAGTGGCCTGAATGTTTACCTTGTCATTCCCAGAGATGATTATATCATCTACATAAATGAGAATGACTACTATACCTTCTTGGCTGGTGAGAGTGAATAGGGTATGATCAGCTTCTGATCTGCTGAATCCTCTATCAAACAAAACTCTGCTAAGCCGGTGGTACCATGCTCTTGGCGATTGCTTAAGACCATAAATCGCCTTTCTCAGCCTTAGTACTTTGCCATGGGCGACCTCTTTTTCTACACCAGGTGGTGGTGTCATGTAGACTTCCTCCTCAAGCTCTCCTTGCAGGAATGCATTCTTCACATCCATTTGCCAAAGATCCCATTCCAGGTTCACGGCAAGTGAGATTACTACTCTAACCGTGTGAAGCTTAGCCACTGGTGCAAAAGTATCTCCATAGTCTTCTCCATAGGTCTGGGTGAATCCTCCTGCTACTAGCCGAGCTTTATACCTCTCTATTTCACCATTGCTCTTGTATTTGATAGTAAAGACCCATCTTGAGCTCACTGTTTTCTTTCCTTTAGGCAATGTAGCCTCATCCCAAGTGTGATTCTTCTCCATAGCCCCCCTTTCTTCACTGATTGCATCACGCCACACCTCATACTCTATTGCTTCTTCATAGGTTTTAGGTATCTGACCTTGCTCCAGTGCAACTAAGAAAGCTTGATGCTCCTTTGGAAAACGAGCGAAAGAGCAAGCTGCTTGAGTAGGATGGGCTACTGCATTGCCATTGTAGTATACCCTTGTATTGACCCAATTGGATGGATCCTGCCTTTCCCTTGTGCTTCTCCTTAGGGCTGCTGGAGCAGGAGCTTGGACTTGTTCTGCCTGTTGTAAGCTTTGCAATCGCGGACTTCTTCTTAGAGGAGCTGGTGGTGCTTGATGAGTTACTGACCGTGTGGGTGCTACTGCTTGCTCCGGAGGTTAATCATGTGCATTTTCATTTTCTTGGGTCTCCGAGTCTATGTGCTCAGCTGGTGGGTCATTGCTTCCATCATTCTCCCCCTCATGATCAACCATAGGGTTTCCAGTGCTTGTAGTGACACCGAGATGGTCTAAGAGTAGCCGGAGGTTAGTAGCTCTATCTGATGTAGACTTGGAGATGTCTTGCAAGTCTTCCCATGATTGTTTGGCATAGAAGCTTTCTGATTCCAAGAACTTCACATCTTTAGAGACTATAACCCGTCGTGTAGTAGGATTGTAGCATTTGTACCCCTTTTGAGTAGTAGAGTAGCCAACAAACATATACCTAGTGCTCTTGGCATCAAGCTTTGTCCTAAGATCTCCTGGAATTAAGGCAAAACAAACACACCCAAACACTCGTAAGTGATCAAGGGAAGGTTTAGTTGAGTTGAGTACCTCATATGGCGATGAGTCATTGAGAACTTTGGTTGGTATTCGGTTGATCAAGTAGCAAGCTGTAAGTACAGCATCTCCCCAAAACCGTTTTGGCACATTGCTTTGAAACATCATGGATCTGGCCACCTCCATTAAGTGTCTATTCTTCCTTTCAGCTACACCATTTTGTTGGGGCGTGTAAGGGCAGCTTGTTTGGTGAATGATGCCTTGTGAGGTAAGGTATTCTTTGAATAAGTTACTGGTGTATTCTCCTCCATTATCTGATCTGAAAATCTTAATTTTGGCATTAAAATGGTTAGTTATGTGAGTTTGAAAATTCCTAAATGCCTCAAAGACTCTATCTTTTGATGGAAGGAGAGTTAACCATGTGTACTTAGACTTTTCATCTATGAAAGTAACAAAATACTTGTTTTGATCTCTAGATTCACATGGAGATGTCCAAACATCAGAATGAACTAAATCAAAGCATTTTTCATAAATGGTAGAAGATTTAGGAAAAACAGTTCTACAATGTTTTCCTAAGATACAAGCCTCACAATCATCATTCTTAAACACTACTTTAGGTAATAAAAGACTCAATGCACGAGCATGAGGATGTCCTAATCTAGCATGCCAAATCGCATTATTAGCACAAGCTACAACATTATTAGAAGAAGCAAAGGTAGGAGCTAAAAGCTTAGTGTCTTCAAGAACATAGAGATCATCTTTGGTAGTCCCTTTCCCAAGCATTTTGCTGGTCTTAATATCCTGAAAACACACTTCATTAGGTCCAAAAATAGTAATACAGTTTAAATCAGTTGTAGCTTTCTTTACAGATAATAGGTTAGATGTAAAGGTAGGCATGTAAAATGCTTTAGAAGATCTTTCAAAGAGCTTAAGTTCTCCTATTCCCTTAATTGGCACTTTTTCCCCATTAGCAATCTCAACATTTCCTATTGTTGGTTTTATGTTGCTAATTAAGCTTAAATCACTAATCATGTGATGAGAAGCTCCTGAATCAACTATTAATGGCTTATTCTTAAGTGTATGTGAGGAACTATAAGAATTACCCATATTTTGAATCACATGAAAAGAGGTACCAAGAATGTTACCAGACTCCTTAAACGCCTTGATCAAGACATCTAAATCCGATCTTGTCACGAATTGGATGAGTTGGCTGCTCCTTCTCCTCCGGTGATAGTCTTAGAGCTTTCTCCTTTGTGAGCAGCTTCTTCCGAAGCACACCTAGCCTTTCCCTCCTTCCATTTTGGTTTAAGGTGTGGATGGAGACTCCAGCATACTTCTTTGGTGTGCCCCTTTCTCTTGCAATGATCACAAAATGAGTTTCTCTTCTCATCAAACTTGTAGGCTCCTTTGTTGGCTGAGATCAATTCTCCTTTTCCTCCAAATAAGCCGAGTGATCCTTGCTCCTTTTGGACTTGGGAACAGACTTCTTCAAGCATTGGTAGCCTTTCTGCTTTGAGAAGGTGTTTGATGAGATCATTGTAGGTTGAGCTGAGAGTCAAAAGCAGTCCAAAGACCTTGTCTTGCTCCCTTCTTTCATTCAAGACTTGTGGATCCACGGTACTTGGCCTTAGCATTTCCAGCTCAGCCCATAGTGCTCTGAACTTTCCAAAGTGCTTGGTGAACTCCATATCTTCTTGCCTTAGCTCGTTGATAGCCTTTTTGACTTCAAACACACAGCTTAGATTAGAGACATTGCCGAATACTTGCTTCAAAGTCTCCCACAGCTCCTTGGCGGTTTCACAGTAGGAGTAGGCCTCCAAGATTTCGTTGCTTAGGGAGCTTTGTAACAGAGCAAGGACGGTCTGGTCTTTCTTGTACCATTGGGTCTCTTCGGCTGGAACAATGGCTGCTCCCGCGGCTGGTGGTGCTGCTATGGGAGCGTCACTTGAAACATGACTCCAGAGACCTCTTCCACACAAGGCGGTTCTTGTGGTTCTTGACCACAGTAGATAGTTCACTCCTTTGAGTGTAACTGGTAAAGCCAATGGCTTATTGTTCTCCATGGCCATGAAATTGATTCTATGGACCTATGGGCAAAGATATAGACCGTTGGTCAATAGTTTTAGGAAAGAGATTTGAGGGAAGAGAAGAGTAAGCGAATGAGAGTATGGTGGATTGAGAGTGTTTTTAGGTGGTTTTAGAGGGTTTAGGAGTGTTTTAAAGTATAAAGAGGATGATTAACGGCTATGGACCGTTGAGTAAAGATGTGAGAATTTTCTGGAGTTGTAAACGAGAGACAAACGAGAGATGAGATAGAGGAGAGAGGGATGAGAATCAAAAGGTTGTAGTCCAAGGATCTACAAACTTCTCTGATACCATGTTAGATTTTGCGGAATAATACTTAGAGAAATGAAGAGTGAGTGAAGAACATGAAAGAGAATGAGAGAGAATGAATTAATGATGATTATATTTCCTTAAGTTAAGTTTTTACATTCGATTGGTAACTCCTATTTATAGATTCTACACATTGTAAGCTAACGGCTATAAAGGAGAAAACAATAAGAATAAACAAATGTGTAGATCCCAAAGGTGAAAGTGACTGGTCATGCTTGACTTCCAACGTCCATATGCTTAAACAAAACATGTGACCTTATCTTCTTTGCTTCCTTATGCATATGACGGTTGTAGTGGTTGACTAAGATCAATTATATTCCTTGTCTATGACCGTTGCTTTCTTGTGTATCACTCTTCCTTGAATGTCACGGTGATGAGTATGTACGGACACCTCTTCTAGGTTGATCATTTTGACAGTAGGATGCTCGTGCCTCACAAGATACACAGGTTTAGGCTCTTTCGTATGTTTGTGCAATCAAGTTTGTTGCTCTATGTTCCATAATCTCATAACCAGGCATTAATGTTCTGCAAAATTGGGCCTCAGACCTATATCGTCTCCAAAATGTAATATTTTGCAACACAAGTCTTTAAGCAAACCATCACGAATTGTTTTCTAAATAATATCCTTTGTTTTTTCTTTGATACATCTCTTACTAGTACTTCTTTTTACACTCAAAATCGGGACTGTTGCTTCAATTTTGTAATCTATCCCGTATGAATGCTATTTTTTTTTCTTTCTAATTTTGATTTTGAATTAATGTTGCCAACCATTCTTGAGAGCTATCCAAAACTAGAATACCTCATATTTAATAATGGATAGTTTTAACCCTTTGATTTACGCTAATTGTTTGATGTTTGTGAAAAGCTTTTATGCATACATATATGATGATATGAACTTCGGTTACGTACTGATGTTGCTGATACGTCTTATGTCACTTCATGGATTGATGATGTGATCACTACGTGCATGAGCTACATTCTGAGGAGATGAATTGCCAAATCGAAATTTAGGCTCAGTTTGGTCAAATGCCCACCTGTAATCTGATTTGAAATTGTTAGCAACCTTTCTCAATGGTCCAATACTTTCACACATTTATAAGATGATCTGCATTACAAGTTTCTCAATGAGTCTCTCAACTTAAAAAAAATCATAAAATAAAAAAAAAATAAGAGATAGAATATGAGATGAATCTCTTACTTGAGAGACTATAAGAAATTATTGAGAGATTATTTTAACACATGTCACTTTAAAATTGATCTATATTTTTTTTCAATTCAAATTTTAATTATATAATCAAATTACATTAATATATTAATTTATTTTTGTTGAGAGACTCAAAACAAGTAATATTTCTTACCTGTCAAATTGTAATCTAATTAGTATTTTTATGGGCTGAGTTTAGCTCGACCCAATAGGCCCAATAGAATCAGGAACACGATCTTCAGTCTCTTGGCTCTCAGGAGTAGAAATTTACCAAATGATTGATTCTTCAATCTCGTATCGTCTCGCTTGTTCTTTTGTTCGTCTCTCCTGCGCAAACACGTCCGCCATTTTCGTTCCTTAAACCTTTCTTCAGCAATTCCTCTTCGTCAATCGTGGTTTTTTATTCGTCATCTCTGTCTGCGTCTTACCTAGAATCTCTAGGCTACATACTCCAGGGTTTTGTTTTACTCATATCACCCCGATAAACCCTAGTTTTTTCAGTGTGATCAGTCATCAGTAGTAGTAAATTTGAATTCTCTTCGGTGGGTTGCTTTCTAATGGAGACCCGAGGCGGTTCCCTTCAGAATCCGTCGAAGAAACAATGGCGCGCCGTTTCGGATTCACTTAACGTTGGAGACGCTACAGACTTTGCGGTAATGTGCCTATCTGGAACTGAAATTCGTCTAGGTTATGTTTGTTTTGAGGAATGTGTAGCCTGAATCCTTTAGAAATGTTCCGAAACATTTTTGGATTTTTTTTTGATTTCCTGATACTGTTTTTATCTCTTCTTTGCAGTTCGAATAGTGTTCTCGTGTGTGTCGTTATATAGCTCAAATTGTTTCTTATAGATTTTAATGCATCTCTTTGTTGCAGGATTTGCAGCAGCTGAAGCTAAACCAGACAGATGAGAGAACCATATATGAGGTTAATTGCTTCTGTCTTGCAACACCACTTAGTGTTTTTTTCACTCACAGAATTGAATCCAGTGCTAAAATATCTTTACTTGAAAAGAAAATAAGAAGAGCTAAAGAAATATCTTTATAGATTAGTTCATATGAATATATGTAAAGTTTCTTGATGGAAACGACCTTTTTTGGTGGGCGCGCAGAATGGTGAGCTACTGGAGCAGCAGCTTCTTAACGTTTCTAGAGAAAAAGGAGAGCTACAGCAGTTGGAGATTGAGCTTCGAGACCAGATGATTGCAAGACAAATCCAGAGCAACTTTGAATCTCAATTCACAGAGTATGCTAATGCTGCTGCTAGAATGCAGGTTGAGTCTCACTCTCCTGATATATATTATTATTATTTATTAACAGGGTTCTACTTTCCTGGATTTTGTTTTTGTATATTTCATTCATTGAGCACAAATGTTACATGGAAAGAGTAAGGAACGTTGTTGCAAAATTTTAGGAGCAACTTCATGAGAAAGAGAGATCTATTCGAGAGGCGGAGAGGAAGTTAGAAGAGAAAGACAGAGAGCTGCATGCGATTAAACTGGATAATGAAGCGGTATGATGGTGTATACATTATTCCCAGGTTTTTGTCATATATATATATATATATATATATCTGAATGATTTGTTCCTTATACTCTGCCTCCAGGCCTGGGCCAAAGAGGGTATCCTAAGAGAACAGAATAAAGAACTTGCCACTTTCAGGTGCTGTTAATTCTTCATATTCTCTGTTACTCTTTTATCTTCTATAAGGTTCTGCTGCTTTTGTTTTCTTTTGAAAGTATTATTTTGGGCGTGAGGTTTTGGAAAATTATAACTGACTGCGTTTTTTCCTTTCTTAATTTTCAGAAGAGAGCGTGATCAATCTGAAGCTGAGAGGTCCCAAAACATACATCAAATATCTGAACTTCAGGAGCATATTCAAGAGAAAGAGAGACAGTTCACAGAACTGCAGGAACAAGTTAGTTTTTTTTTCTGACACTATCAAATATGTTCAAACATATCATGGCTATGGATCTTGCAGTTTTATCTCATTGTCTTTTTCTTGAAATTTTGGATACACTAAAAACAGAGTCTTTTATCTTTAATGGCTTGTAGAATAGGATTGCTCAAGAAACTATCATGTACAAGGATGAGCAACTGAGAGAAGCGCAAGCTTGGATTGTGCGTGCCCAAGAGATGGATGCTTTACAGTCATCTACAAATCACTCGTTGCAGGCTGAATTGCGAGAGCGTACTGAGCAGTATAACCAGCTCTGGCTTGGTTGCCAAAGACAGGTTGGTTTTCTGAATTTCTTCCAAAAATTGTTTCTTTTTTTTTCTGCTTGAGATATCATTCTACTCCTATTGTTCCATCTCATTGAGTACAGTTTGCGGAGATGGATAGGTTGCATTTGCATACAGTGCAACAGCTTCAGCTTCAGCTTGCCAATGTAACGGAAGGAGGTGGCTCTATAACAAATTCCAACGGTGCCTCCCAGATTATTCAAAACAGCGGGAACCAAATCGAGGTATAGTTTTTTTAGGTGTTTGATGCTTAAATTGTTTAGCAAAAGTGCAATAAGTATTATGCTGGAAATTAATAGGGCCCGTAGAAGTTCTGTGATATCGTATTTCGAAGTAATTGTTTTAGAATTCTAGATCTTTCATGTTCCTCATCATATTCACTCCTGATGACTTGTGTTCTTGGTAATAAAGCAATCCGTGCTAAAGAAACTGTTAATGACGATTAGTCTTTCATGCTTTTTTCGCAGGCTGTACCAGATAGCTCACAGATGCCTGTGCAGAATCATGTGCATCCATCTCAAGGGGGTCATGGCTTGACAAGTTCTGATGCGAAGAGTGAATACCAGGTGCCTGCCAATGGGCAGTCCCTTGGTCAAGGCCCTCAAGGGTATCTGGATGTTCAAACTAGCCATGGAGCACAACATGGATCAACTACACCATCATCGTCTGTGAGTGAACAGGTAGGGGATGTTCTTGTAACTAAATGTGGTAATACTTATTCGATTCGATTCTTATCTTAGAAAGTACTTCTTAACAGATAGTGGAATCTGGCAATGGAGGCTTTCAAGACATTTCTTCACAGTTCCGTGATGCGCTGAGGCTAGATTCCAATGCCCTGAATCAGAAACCTGAGGTATGCAAGTATCATCTGGGAAAATTTCTTGGCTTGTGGAATGTAGTTAGGGGAAATATTTTGAATATGTTTTCTCTCTGTTTCTCTTTCCCTAGGAGGCTGATGGTCAGGCTTCACCCGGTGAACAAAATGGAATTGGATCCATTGTACGTGAAACTCTAGTCTCATCTGGAAAACTTGAGAGGAACTTAGAGAGTGCTCTTCTTGATGAAAAGTCACTTTTGGCTTGTATCGTTCGCACTATTCCAGCTGGTGGAAGGATTAAAATCAGTTCAACGGTGAGAGCAAACTATGTACAACTTTGAGAGTGATCTGTTGTGTTTTGAAATAGTATTTTTCTTATCACGTCTGCTCAATATGTCATTTTATAGCTTCCTAATCGTTTGGGAAAAATGCTAGCACCTCTGCACTGGCATGATTACAAGAAAAAGTACGGGAAGCTCGACGATTTTGTTGCTAGCCATGTAGAGGTCTGTCTCATCCCACTTCCCAAAACAATTTAAAATGTCTTTTCTTTCTCTCAAAACTTTTTAGTATTATTTAAAACTGGTTTTTGTTGCAGTTATTTGTGATAGAGGACGACTACATTCAAGTTCGAGAAGGTGCACAGAAGATGGTAGCAGCTTCGGCTTCAGCTTCAGCAGCCAAAGTAGCAGCAGCTACAGCTTCTTCATTTTCAAACTCGATGTATGTGGCTATGACTCCTATGGCTCAGCCTCAGGGGTCAAAGAAGAATGACAAAACAGTCCAAAGAGGAAGACAGCTCTGATTGTATGGCGCAACAACAAAGAAAGCTCTGATGATGTTACTTGTAGAGGTACAAGTCAAGCATATAAGAGAGGCGTGACAATCTCGATGCTAAAATATACATTTCATTTTTTACTTTTCGGTTTTAATATGCTCAAAATCGATTGTGTATTAACTTTAGTTTGACCTGCTTACATTTCTTATTTTTTTCTATTTGATTTTATTGGTGTATTAAGTCGCCAATCCTCGATGCTAAAATATATACATTTGGCTTTTACAAATCGGTATTAATGGTATCTGTTTATATGCTCAAACTCGATTGTGTTTACTTTGACCTGCTTACATTTCTTGCCTCATACGTCAACCGATCTATAAGTTTCTGGTATAGGTAAAGTTGAATTTTGAGTATATATATACCAGTTAACTAAAAAGACTATTAATTATTTTCAGAAAAATCGAAAACAAAGATGAGCAAGAGCTTCTGGAATAAAATAAAAAGGCTCTTTCTAGTTTTATTGCCAAATAAAAAGGTAAAGGTAAACAACGCCATTTACAAGACCAAAAATCCGAAGCTAATCCCAAACATAACAACCAAAAAATGTCCAAGAAGAACCAAAGCAACAACTCCAAATGTTCTATGTTGCATCATGTTACCAATCAAAGAAGGAGGACTTGACATGTGGTGGAGCGTCTTGGGATTCTGAGGATTTCCTTGAAGATGTCATCTTTTGTTTGATGAGGATGCAATCGTAACGTGAGTTTCTTGAGGATTACCGAATTATCTAGGAAGTACCTTGCGAGTTTCGTTTCTGTAGCATCTTCCCAGATCCTTGTTTCGATATCAACAAACTCAAGAGACGATAACAAACACTCGGGCACAGATGAAAAACTGATTTTATCACTCTCCTCGGACCATATCTTCCAACAGTAACAATCCCATACCTGAATTTTAAAAAAATTAAAAAGAGAGGAAAAATAAAGTCAATGGAAAGATAAGGCTGTTCACGAATTGTGAGTGAATCATATAAGGTTTAGCAAGATTCATTACCAAGGTTAAGGATTTCAGATTCGGGAAGCTCTCAAGAAAAGTTGGCAGCCATTCAAAATTGGTTACACATAAACTTGATACGCAAGAAAATTGAGGCAGGGGTTCTACTTTTGAGTATCTGTAGATGACCTGTCATAGAAGCAAAAACAAAAGTTGGTTAGAGACTTGTTGGAAGAATATTTTATATGCTCAAATTGAAGTTGACATGTGATGTGTGTGTACCTCCAAACTGGAACTAGTAATAGATAGATCACTGACCCTCGATATATCAGTGAGGATATCACGAATCACGCTTCTATGGGATAAGTTACATGGATCAAACCAACCACAATAGTTGAAATAAACATGTAATTTTGCAGAGACACCCATACGGATGATCCTAAAGCTCTTCGTAAGGTAAATCACAATCCTTAAAAACTGGAGTAGAGGAGCATCATCAATCACAACATGCGTATACTTATTATCTATGTCGATTCTCTTTACCGTCTGAGACCGCACTTGTAAAACCTCGTCATCATCAGAAACCTTATTACCACTACTATAGATGTTTAAATCTTCCAGAACTGGAGAGCTTGAAATAAGTTTCTCCAAAGTGGCCACGTTGGGACATGAAACTTTGTCTAAATGCAAGATCTTCAGACAAGGCAAAGAAACAAACTCGGCGTTAAACAATTTGGCACCAAAGAGTCGTAAGTGTACTAATGTCTCACATGTATACAGGCTTAGGGGTATCTGTACTGACGGTTTGAAACAAACTCTAAGATGTTGAACCCTATGCCTAGTTAAAGCAGATCCAATCCAGAGAGTGACACAAGGGGAGTCATTATCATCAAGTCTATCAATCGTTAACCGGAATTTTCGCAACTCCTTGTGTACATCGAAAAACCTGCCAGCGAAACTCGCCAAGGCATTGAAGTTGGAGAATCTGCTCGAGTCTAAGTCCAATCCAGGAACCCATTTCCAAAGACTTGTCCATCTTTTGGATAAGAGGCTTGTCCTAAATAATTTGGAATATTTGAAAAAGTTGTTAAAATTATGTTGACTATTTTTCTATATACTAAAGTATAAGAGAAAACAATGTTATTATTTATTTAAATTATATACAAAAATTCATCATCAAAATTAGATACTAAAAATATAAGGTCACAAATTTTTTTAATTTGCTTTAAGCCTCCTAACTATTAGGGACGGCACTGACTATAGATCTTTAAGTCTTCCAGAACTGGAGAGCTTGAAATAAGTTTCTTCAAAAAGGCCACGTCGGGACATTCAACTTTTTCTAAATGCAAGATCTTCAGACATGGCAAATAAACAAACTCGGCGTTAAACAATTTGGCACCAAAGAGTCGTAAGTGTACTAATGTCTCACATGTATACAGGCTTAGGGGTATCTGTACCGACGGTTTGAAACAACGAACTTCAAGATGTTGAACCCTATGCCTAGTTAAAGCAGATCCAATCCAGAGAGTGACACAAGCGGCGTCATTATTATCATCAAGTCTATGAATCATTAACCGGAATTTGCGTAACTCCATGTGTACATCGAAAAACCTGTCAGCGAAACTCGCCAGGGCATTGAAGTTGGAGAATCTGCACGAGTCTAAGTCCAATCCTGGAACCCACTTCCAAGGACTTGTCCATTTTTTGGATAAAAGGCTTGTCCTAACAGCGTCCTCTGTGGGAAGATGATAAAGAATGTGACATATCAGATGATCTGGAAATTGGCTTATCATATCTTTTTGCCATCCTTGATTCGACCCTTGTTCACAAATTAGGGTTTTTTTCTTACTACCAACCATTTGTTTCTCTTTCACAAAGCTAAATCTGCATCATCATGTACAAAAAAATATCAAAACTAATAAGAGGCAATTCGCTTATCCAATCCTCCTTCAACCTCTGACTCCACCCTTTGGGACGAGCCTCCATGTTATTCTGCATAACGCAAGCGGAGAACGAAAGTTTTAGAGAGAAAGAAAGTTTGGAGGCGTAAGTATTACAGCCACATTGCTTGTGACCAACCTAATCTCTCGGCCAATTGAATCAAACAATGAAAAAAAGGAAACCCTAGAATAGTAATCTGAGATGTAACCTCCCAACGGTTCTAGCTCGATTCTCGAACGCAGAGAGACAGATTAACGAAGAGAGTGAAACGAAAATGGTGGGAAAAGAGTGACGCCACAAGAGACGAACCTAAATGCGAGGGAGGGGGAGAGAGAGAGAGAGACGAACCTAAATCCGAGCGAGAGAGATGAAATTTCGTTCGTTAGGTTTGAAATTGCAAACTGATTTGGAAAACCTTGCACAGTGGTCGTGGTCGTGTGAGAGTGTCGACTAACGAATGACGATGGTCTTTCCGGCTAATTGGGCCTATTGGGCTGAGTTTTAGCCAGCCCATTAATCCTTGCAAGTTTATATATTGCAAAGAAAAAGAAAAGGGCTTATTGATCTAAACTTGTCAGCCCATTATACGAAAGAGCCCTAAACCTGTATTTCTTGTGTGCCAAGAGAGCTTTCCTACATCGAACTAATTAAACAAAAAACAGTCCTCGTCACGTGTTCCATCTTTCTACGCTTTACCAATCAGATGACGACGACTTGACACATGGTAGAGCATATTGGGATTTTGAGGAGCTCCTTGGAGGTGTCATCTATCGAATGTAGAGTGAGTTTCTTAAGGATTGCTGAACTCTCTAGGAAGTATTTTACTAGCTTCATTTTTGCAGCACATCCTGAGATTTGGGTATTGATTTCAACAACCTCGAGTGACGATAACAGACATTCAGGAACAGATGAATAAGTGATTTGATGTATTGATTCTTCTATAGACAACTATTCTGCATCATAAAGTGCAAGACGAAAAGTTTTAGAGAGAGTATTACCAACAATTGTCTTGCGATCAACCTAATCTCTCTCGGCCAATTGAATTAAACAAAAAAAGGAAACCCTAGAATAGTAATCTCAAATGCACATCCCAAAGTTCTAGCTGGATACCGATATACGAAGATAATGACAGAAGAAAGCTTTAAGGGTAACGAAAATGGTTGACGAACTTAAATCCGAGCGACGCAGCGAGAGAGTCGAAATTTGTTAGTACGTTTGAAATTGCAGACTGATTTGGGAAACCTTGCACAGTCGAGTCGAATGAGAGACTGTGAAGATGGTACTTCGGGCATTATGGGCCTGTTGGGATTAGTTTAAGTCAGCCCATTAATCCTTTCAACTATATTTACAGCAAAGAAAAAGATGGACTAAATAGTTTTAGTCAAGCCCATTAATCCTGCAAGTTTTTCGTTGACTTGCCTTAACATTTGAACTTTTTGATATGAGATCATTAATTATATGATGCATGAGCTGCCTTGGAAATTCATAAACCATAGATTTTTAAGGAACATAAAAAAGTGTAACAAACAACATATCGTGATTTCTTGCAAGAGTACCTTATAACAGTAATTTCATCTCTATTTGTACATCAAAGATTACAAACAAACGAAATAGCCCAAACTTGCAATTCTTGTGTGGCAAGGGAGCTTTCCCTACATCGGACTGATTAAGAAAAATTCAATCTCCTTCACATGTTCTCTTCTCTCTAAGCTTCACCAATAAGAATACGAAGACTTGATCTCAGGGCTCAGCAATAAAGAAAGCTCCAATGTTACTTGTGGTCGAGCAATTCAACGTGAAAGTATATAAGGCGAAATATAAAGCTTGATTTTCACAAATATCAAAAGCTCTTTTTAGGTTTTATTGCCACATCAAAAGCTCTTTTTTAGGGTTAAACAACGCCAATTAGTCCCACAATATAAACCAGGTCAAAGACCAAAAATCCAAAGCTATTCCCAAATATAAGAATCAAAAAACGTCAAGAGAATACGCAAAGCACAAGTTCAAATGTTCATCATGTACCAATCAAAAAACGAGGACTTGGCATGCGGTAGAGCGTCTTGGGTATCTGAGGATTTCCTTGGAGATATCATCTTTTGTTGGATGAGAACCCAATCGTAGTGTGAGTTTCTTGAATACCAATGAAAATTCTAGGAAGTACCTCAATGAATAATCATTTTCAAAAAGTTAACAGGTCACCTACTTGAGTAATTGCGATATTTTTAGTGTAACTTCTATCTTTTAATAAGAATTTGTGATTTGCCTATTCTTTTAGGTGGAATTTCTTTTTATAACCTAAAAGTTGATTTTTTTTCAATATGTAAAACCTTTATTGAATGTTTGGCAAAACTAACCCAAATGGGTAGTGAAATTACAGCTCAGTCCTTTGTGACTAAACAAAAAACGTCTGCCACAGTTACGATTTTATCCTTCGAGAAGTCTACGTAAGAAGTCTACAATCGTTGTATGTAGACTTCAAAAGAAAATATAAAATAAATAAATTTCTAAAAAATTGGTAAACATAAGTAAGACATATATATTTGACATGTATAGAATATAAAATTTTATACAAATAAATCAACTTAAAAGCAGAAAGAAAATTAACTAGAAAACATACAACCCCTTAGAAGTCTACTAAAGAAGTCTACTACAGAAAACATATGTATGCAGTAGACTTCTCGGGTAGACTTCTCGGGTAGACTTCTCCAGTAGACTTAAAAAAAACATAGCGGAAAATCAAAATTATTTAACAAATTAGGCGGGAATCGGAACAAATTAGGCGGGAATCGAAATCGAAAAAATATACCGAAGTAGACTTTTCGAGTAGACTTCTCCAGTTGACTTCTTAAGAAGTCTATACATATATAAAGAGATTAACCTAATTGGATTAAAAATAAAGTTTTTCTCTTCCTCTAAAAAACGCTTCTCTCTCCTCTACCTCCTCTCTGGCCATGAATCTCTTCTCCTTCCTCTCTTGCCATCAAACCCATCTCTATCCTCCATCCTCTCTATCTCAATTATGGTGATGGTAAGCAAATCTGAGGTTTTGTGTTTCTTTTGTTGTTTGTTTTGTGTTCATATTTTAATCTGAGTTGATTATTACATATTTAAGCTTCTTGTTGTAGATATGAGTTTATTCTTGCAAATATGCGCTTCTTATGGTAAAAATTTTGTAGAATTTGTTGCAGATCTGATTTTTTTTGTAGATCTGAATTTTTAGTTGTTGCAGATCTGATTTTGTTTATTTTGTTACAGATCTGAATTTTGTTTATTTTGTTGCAGATCTATAATTTTTTTTTTTTGCATAGCTGATTTCTTTTTTCCCTTTTTGCTGCAGATATGATGTTTGTAAATATAGCAGATTTTGTTGAAATATGAATTTTAACATTTTTTTTTCTTATGTTGCAGACCTGAGCTTATTTATTTCTCTTTTGTTTTTGTTGGAAACAGACTTCAGCTGCAGATTTCTCGAGTAGACTTCTCGAGCA